GGTAACCTCTCCTCTCAAAATGATGACGACAGACGATACTCGACCGTATTTCACAGTGACTCTCTGTGTGCATACTGATAATCATAGGGGTTGTCTTGATACTACCCATCATATTAATCCTGGAAGAACCACTGAGGAACAACACCACCACTGACCACCCTTCAACGACGAAAGATCCAGCAGAGCAACACCATTCACACAAGAGAGTAAAAAGAGAAAACACTGAAGCAACAAATGATTCTAAATGTTTAAATAACTATGGTGGTATTACTCTTGAATATATATTAGGTAAGACAATGGCGATCTGTGTTCAGTAATTAATTGCAACAATTGGAACTACACTTACAAACCTTATGACCTATATGTGGGTTTTCATTATTATGTCCATAGCCTGATGTGAACAGAATCGGCTGCCCCGTAGAGGATGGTGTGAAGATTGGAACATGGTAGTAGGATATACAGGTCAATGGATTCCCACAATGTCAGATAAAAATGTGTACAGAGACAAAGACATTTGGAATCAATTGAAAATCCAATGTGATTTTTCCAACACCCAAAATCCGATCACTATGTCCCTGAATTGGACTAAATTACCAACAGGGAGTAATTGGAAACTTTCTGGTAAAACAAATCAAACTGAAATATATTATATATTATATATACATTCAATAAATTTGCCTCACAAAATGAAAGATAATACCCAGACTTCAAGTTCAGAATACGCATTCTAGACAGAACTTGACTTGCGCAAGCTCTCTAGCAGTTGCAGCTTGTGTGCCACGTCCTGCTAGTTTGCCTTTAGCCGTCAGTTCAGCCTTTCATCCTCATCTGAATCTCTTTCAGCCCAGATGCCATAAGTTGCCTGCTCCTTGGAGTGCCTGTAGTGCCGACGGTCTGCTCATTTGTCAGGTCCCAGTCTGTCATTGCAAATCCTACTCCATCCCTCTCCGCCCATAAAGGTGGGACATGGACATCTCTGAACAACAACGACTTTTCAAATAAACAATGAGCTAAATGTTGATAAGAGACAATAATTTACCAGATAAAAGATTAATGGCAAATTGCTATACGATTTACTGTTTTTTTAATTTTGAGAAATTAAGAACAAACCATCGAACCGGCTGTTAGCTTGAACGTGCTCTAGTCTGCGCGTTATGTTACGTTAAAAACATCCGGGGTTCACAAGTGACGTTCCTTCCACATGTAAGACAAAATATTTAATTTACTTGATTATATGCTGAATGTATGGGAATTATTCAAATTATTTTAATATTTAAAATATCCATACATTAAAGGAGTCAATTAAGGACACAAATATATTTCAAATATAAGACCGCACAAAAAGTAAAAATTGTGTTGCACTAAATACTGCTCTCATGTCCCCAACCAAATTATTACCACTTTAATAAGTAATATTAAAACATGTCACACTTTGTAGGCTTAATTCAGAATATAAAATGACTGACGTTGGAGAAGAGTGGCAGTTAGTCGGGCGGAGAAAAGGCAAAGAAAATCAAAGACGCCTAAAAGGTCTCCAGCATCTGCAAGTTGTCAGGAGGAGGACTTGGACATTGAGAAAACTGTCAAAAGAATTAAAGACACAACGTATGAAAACCAATTAACCTACTTGAAATGAAATGATTGCACTTAGTGGTGTGCACAATGCATAAATGCATATAACGCTGCCTTTTATTACTCCAGGTCTGAGCTAGGCTGT